GAGATCTTATGGGAGGGGGAAGCCATGTTTCCTGAGCTTGAGGAGCAAAGCCTTCCTGCCTTATTTCTTTGGAAAAGTGAAGTCTAGAGGCTCCGTGGGGAGGGAGGAAGCCCTGCCCCTCCGGTTACCTTCATGCCTTTCTGAAGGTCTCCCAAAGCCTAGATCATGTTCATTCCAGGCGCTCGGTGGTGCCAGTGAGGAGCAGGACCACTCTGTGGAGGGAGAACCAGAGGAAGGGGCAAGTGTGGTCCCCAGCTCACCCGAGGAGTGGCCTGAGAGTCCCACAGAGGAAGGTCACGATTTCAGTCCTGGTGAGTGAGAGCTTAGGGCCCAGGGTTGGGCACTACAGGGGCAGCCCTGGGAGTCTGGGGGTGGTGGGGTGGTGGTGGTGCAGGAAGCCTGCTGTGGTATTCCCAGCTTCTCTCTCTCCAACGCTTCTCCTTTTCCCCAGATGGAATGGGGCCAGATATTGAGGCTTCTGGAGAGACCAGTCCTTCAGCCAGGTAATGTCAACCTCTGTTCCAATGCCCCCTGCCATCTGTTCTCTTTAAAGTCGACCATCACCCCAATCTGTCCCTGCCTCCCAACACCTGGTCTGGCGCTACCCCAGGACTCTTGCATTCAGCCCCCTACCTCAGGGCAGAGCCCAGGAAAGCACAGGAGCCAGCTGGAGAAGGCCAGATGATGGATGCCTGGTCCACCTCCCACCTCTGCTGACGTCTTCTTCCCAGGCATCAGCATCGTCCCTATGAGCATGAGTCTGGACAGTGGCTCTGCCACCTACCTGCTGTGTGACCTTGGCCATGTCACTGAGCCTCTTCTCTTCTCATCAGTACAGTGGCCACAGAGCAGTTCCACTGATCTGATCAGATCCTTCGGGGGCTTAGATGATGCAATGTGTGCAAAGCACTTAGCTTAGTGCCTGGTGTGTGCTCCTAAAAAAAAAAAAATCACTACCATCGAGTTGACTCTGACTCATACTGACCCTCTAGGGCACAGTAGAACTGCCCCGCACCACCACCAAGGCCATGCATGTCCAAGGCCATACATCTTCACAGAAGCAGGAAGACTCCTCTTTCTCCTTAGGAGCAGCTCGTGGTTTCAAACTGGTGGTGGAGCAGCTAGTGATTTTGAGCTGCTGATCTTGGGGTTAGCAGCCCCACCCTTCGCCCACCGTGACCCTAGGGTTCCTGGGTGCCTGGTAGGTCTGGCTACAATGACAGCCTTAGTCTTGCCACTGCGCAACTTTAGTGATTAGGAGAAACTTTCTTTAGATTGAGCCGTAAGCAAGCTCCTGATCACTTACCATCCCAGGGACAGAAGCCTAAGCAAAGCAAACGAGATGTGTCCGGCTGGGTTGTCTGGAGAAACCAAACCAGTGACACTCACATCTGTAGAAGAAAGAACGCAATCTCCAGAAGTCATTTCATATCAACATGGCATCCGAGCCCAGTCTAACTCAAGTCCACAGGTTCGAAGCTAGCCAGCACCCTCTTCCGACTTGTGTTGCTGCAGACCAATGATGCCAAAAGGTGAAGAGGGAGCAGGAGGGTCACAGGTCAGTGGGTGCAGTTTCGTGGATCCAAGGTGGATGGGAACCTGGCAGGGTGCAGACAGCTTCGAGGTTGGCTGCCAGGGTCAGCGGTCCACATGGGGCCACCCCGGGAGGCAGACACCGAGTCCCAGCAGGCAAGACAAAGGGGGCAGAAGAGAGGAGTCCCCGGTGTGTCTCTTATAAAGAGGTCACACTTCTCAGGAAGCACCATCAGGCTGTGACCTGATTGTCAGGTTGGATTCCACCCCGACACGTTCGTACAAAGTCAAGGGGGCATAAAATCTAACCACCACACCAGACTAGCTGCCGTTGAGTTGACTGACTCTTAGCGACCCAGGGTGCAGGACAGAGCTGTGGCTCCACAGGGTCCTCATGGCTGGGACCTTTCCGAAGCAGATCGCCAAGCCTTTCTTCCGAGGTGCCCCTGGGTAGATTCAAACTGCCGACCTTTCAGCTAACAGCGCAGCAGCTCATCTTGTGCGCTACCGAGCAGGTCCTCTCAACTCAAACGCACTGCCATCAAGACGATGCCAACTCACAGGGACCCTATGGGACAGGGTAGAACTGCCCCGGTGAGTTTCTGAGACTGTAACTCTCTAAGAGTAGAAAGCCCTTTCTCCTGAGAAGCAGTTGGTGGTTTTGAACCGCTAACCTGAAGGTTAGCCACCAACTCGTAACCACTACCCCACCAGCAACTCCTAGAGAAATATATTGTTATTGTCAGGTGCCATCCAATAGGTTCCAACTCATAGCGACCTGTGTACAACAGGACAGAACGTTGTCTGGCCGTGCATTACACCCATAGTTCTCACAACATTTGAAGCCCACGGTGGCAGCCCCTGTGTCAATCCATTTCATTGAGGGTCTTCCTAGGAGAAGATAACCCACGACTATCCCCTGAGCCCTCCTGTGGCCCTTAGAACCATCTTGTTTGATGGGTTCTCTTGCCCACATTTTACGGACGAGGAGGAAGCTGAGGCTCAGAGAAGTGATGGGACCGTCCCAAGATCACACAGCAACTCAGAGGCAAAGTCAGAATTCAGACTCAGGTCAGCCCTCAGGCTTGCCCTTGTTCGGTTCAAGATGCCCCCCACATCCTGGAGGTTAGGCCCAGCTCCTTCCTTCCCAGCCCTCACTGGGGGCCCAGTGGATGAGCTTCAGGAATCGGCCACACACCACGCGGCCCTGTCCACTGCAGTGACTGACCCCTGCCTCTAGCCCTGTCCAGTCCAGGGACCTCCCCCAGCCCCTCTCTTTGTTCTCTGGACTTTCCTTCACAGTGAGTCATCTCCCAGCGACGCGCCCCTGAGTCCCACGGAGCCCCTACCCCTGGAGGAGAAGAAGAAGGAGAAGGCCCCGGAGCGCAGGGTGTCAGCGCCTACCCGGCGGGGCCCCCGTGCGCAGAACCGCAAAGCCATCGTGGACAAGTTTGGCGGGTAGGCACAGGCCACCGCTGGAACCACCAGGGTGGAAGGAGGCCAGGGGCAGAAGAAGAGCCCAAGCCAAGCGGGGCTGACATGGGGGAGTGGGGGGACGGGCTCAGTCCTGGCCTGGCTGACAACCCCTCTCTAGGGCAGCCTCGGGCCCCACGGCCCTGTTCCGGAACCCCAAGGCGGCAGGAGCGGCCATTGGCGGGGTCAAGCAAATGCTCTTGGAGTGGTGTCGGGCCATGACCAAGAAATACGAGGTGAGCAGGAGGCCCTTCCCAGGGTGGAGGGGCCAGAGAGGGGCCAAGCCCAGAGAGTGTGAAGGGGGTCAAGTGGCCCCCTCCGAGGCCCGGTGGCCGCGGCTGACCACGCCCCTGGCCCCGCCCCCAGCACGTGGACATCCAGAACTTCTCGTCCAGCTGGAGTAGTGGCATGGCCTTCTGCGCCCTCATCCACAAGTTCTTCCCCGACGCCTTTGACTACGCGGCGCTGGACCCCACACAACGGCGACACAACTTCACGCTGGCCTTCGCCACCGCAGAGTAAGCCCGGGTGGGGACGGGGGCGAGGGCAGCCCGCGATGGGGAGGCGTCCAATGGACGAGGTGGCCACGCAGTCATTTTGGGAACCAGCATGTGGCAGCGCCAGGTCCACGGGGAGAGAGACACTCACTCGGGTTACATCCTGAAAGACTCCGCCACCGATCGTACCTGCTGTGGATGGGGTGACCCAGAGGCATGGCGCCCCGGAGTGTGCCTGCGTAGAACTGAGCGCCACAGGGGGGTCCAGGCAAGGCTGATCTTCTTTCTTTCTTCCCCCTCCCACCCCAGAAGTAAATCGCCAGGCCTTTCTTCCGTGGGCCATCTAGGTGGACTCCAACCTCCAACCCTTCGCTAAGTAGCCAAAGTGCCTAACACCTAACGTACTAATCGATATTGGAAGTGAGGCAGTGCGACTGCAAAGATTTGGGGTCCGAGTCTGACTGTCGCTTGCAGCTGCGTCACCTGGAGAGGCTCCCTTCCCTCTCTGAGCCTCCCTGGGCTGAGCTCTAAACTAGGAATGACTCCTCGGTGAAGGGGCCTAGGGGGAGGGGTAAGGAAGGTAATTCAGTAAAGCCACTGTCCTGGCGCCTAACCCACAGGAAGCACTTCCCGCAAGCTCTTCGTTTGCATAAGGAAGGATGTCACGGTTGTGGGTGGTACATACAGTGAGCAGGTTTGGTGCATGCGCTGTGGGAGAAATAAGGGCCCCTGCCGCGGCCATCACATCTTACTGGCCCTGATTCAGAACTCCCCCATGAGTCTATGGAGGTGACAGAGCGCAAGGGGCCCTGGGGTCCCCAGTGGGCTTGGTCAGCAGTGCTGCTGGGGGAGTTCACCCTGGATCCCAATCTCAGTGGGAATGGCTAGCCTCTCCCGTGTAGGGGGGCAGCACCCGAATACTCACCCGGGAGCCCACCAGTGTATTGGCTGTGGAGCGTCTGTCTCATTCTTCGAAAACCCTCTAGCCAGTACCCCTCAGCCACGCTGGCTTAGGTTTCCGGCCAGCTGTCTTTCTCTGTCCAGGAGAGGATTTCCACGGGGCCCTAGTCCCCTACGTCCAGCACTCACAGCTGGCTTCAGTGGGCCAAGATGCTAAGCCAGAGGGAGTCAGATGGCCCCAGGGTGGAGTCCTGGCTATCTCTCACCTTGACCTTGGGCAAATTACCAGTACACTTCAATCTTCCAGTTCACTTTCTGCTGGTTGAGGATGAAAACCAAACCAAAAGACCAAATCCACCGTCAACTCTGACTCCCCAGGCCTGTAGGACAGAGTAGGGCCGCCCAATAGGATTTCCATGACTGACCATCTTTATAGGAGCAGGCAGCCTTGTCTTTCTTCCTCGGAGCAGCGGATGGGTTAGAACCAATGATCTAAAGTTAGCAGTCCAACCCCGAACCCACCGTGTCACGAGGGCTCCTTACGGAAGGAACCAAAGCTGAAAACCTACTGCCATCGAGCCAATGCCAACTCACAGCCACCCTAGGGTTTCCAAGACTGCAAATCTTTGCAGGAGCAGAGTGACTGGTGAGCTTGAACCTCCAACCTTACAGTTAGCAGTCTGTCACCTAGTCAACAGTGCCACCAGGACTCCGTGAGGATGCAAGGGAGAGTAAATAAGACCATTCACGAAGAAGCTGCTGGCACTGCCCCAGCACATGGGCATGAGAACTTAATGGTGTTAGCTCTGACTGGGCTCAGCCAAACCAGGAGTAACACAGGCCTCAAAGGCCAGCTGGGAGGGTTTATGTTAAACAGAAAAAAACGAGCCTGTGCCGGGTTCCTCAAACATGCCAAGCACTCGATGCTGAGCTATTCCATCTGCCTGGAATCCTCTTCCCCAGATGGGCACATGGCTCGCTCTCTTAAAACCTTCCCTCAAAAAAACACTCTGCCATGGAGTTGATTCCGACTCTCAGTGACCCTGTAGGTCAGAGCTGAGCCACGCCTGTGAGTTCCCGAGAGTGCCGCCCTTTATAGGCAGGGGTTTTAAAGGCTCCCCTTTCTCCCGAGGAGCAGCTGGTGAGTTTGATCTGCTGACTTTGCAGTTAGCAGCCCAATGCAGAACTTACGACATCACGAGGCTCCAAGTCTTTCCTAGCACCACATTATAGAACAATAGACCCCTCTCTAACACAGTAACACCCTCCCCACCTGAAAAGTCCCGTATCAGATGGCTTCATGGGGGAGAGCTCAATGACAAGCCAGAGGTTGGGGGTTTGAAAATCCTGCCTCCCACCCCGCCAGAGGCCCCTCAGAGGACAGGTATGGCAATTTGCTGGTGAACAATCACAGCCTTGGAAATGCTCGGAAGCAGTTGAGCTCTGCACACATGATCAGAATCGACTCCACAGCCACGAAGCACACAGCATCTGCACGCACAGACGACTTTGAGCGAATTCTACCAAACATACAGAAGTGCTTCCAACCCTTAAACTTTCCCCCAATAGAAGAGCCTCATAGAACCCATTCTATAAGGTTAGCATCACCCCGATACCAAAGCCAAAGACACAAGAAAACGACGCAACACGGATTCGAAAGTTCCCAGCAAGCTGCTGCCAAAGCAAGAACTTAAAGAAGACAGCAAAGCTTACACATCAGGACCAAGGAGGATTTATCCCAGGATGGGCATGGGTGGCGCGGCAGGGCGAATGCAGTCCATGCAGTACACCACATGGAGGCCTGGGGGAGCTGTGGGATAAGGCGGGGCTGCTAACAACTGCAAGGTCGGTGGGTAGTTCAAACCACCATCAGCTGCTCCTTGGGAGAGTAAGGAGGCTGTCTGCCCAGAGATCCTACGTGGACAGGGTTATGAAAAGACGAGGCTGTAGTCTTTACAGAAAGGAGTCCTGGTGGCTGGCAAATTGGGCTGCTGACCGCAAGGGCAGTGGTTCAAACCCATCAGCCACTCAAAGGGAGGTGAGGCAGGGAGTGATTTTTAGGGAAGTAGATCACCAGGAGCCGCTCGCTGCGTGGATTCAAACATTGTGTGCAGCTGTGCCCTTAGCCTCTCCGCCACCAAGGCTCCTTTGGCCCATAGCAGCCCTTTAGTTGATATGTGAAGGAATGAACGCAGCAGGGGTCAGCCGGCATTCTGGATGCCAGCCCTTTAGTTTGCCCTGAGAAGCCTTGCCCAAGGGGTTCCCTGGGCCCAGAGGGCAGATACAGCTGTCTGTGGGAGAGTGGGCTAATGCAGAACCCGATGGGAGGGTCCTCCTCCCATGTGATGGAAACCTGGGCTTAGCAGTCAGACCAGATTGGCTATGTGTCTTGACTCCTGTCCCAACCTTGGTTTTCTCACCTGGGCCAGGAGATAGTAGATGGAGGGTCTCCCAGTTCTCCCTACATCACTGTGAGGCTCTCATCTGCACTGGGCTGCTTTACCCCTTCTCTTCGACCTCAGCTTCTCGCCCACCCTCACCCCCGCCCTGCAGGAAGCTGGCAGACTGTGCCCAGCTGCTGGAGGTGGATGACATGGTCCGGCTGGCGGTGCCAGACTCCAAGTGCATCTACACCTACATCCAGGAGCTGTACCGCAGCCTCGTGCAGAAGGGCCTGGTGAAGACCAAGAAGAAGTGAGGGGCCCCAGTGCTGTGGGTGGTGGCAGGCAGGGCGCCAAGCTACGCAGCCCACTCACTTCCACTCCTCTCAGAGCAAAGAGTCCACCATTAAAAATACTTTTGTAAAATGCAGTCTGGCCCCTCTGACTCCCTCCCTACACACCCCCACCACACCAGGGACCTGTCCCATCCCAACCCCAGGAGTCTGTCTCCTCTGTTGTCACCTGGTACTGTCTTCTGAACACCTGTCCCAGTGCTTGGAAGGATAGCACCCTCATGGGTGTGAGCTGGACACCAGCCTCGCTGGGAGTCACTCTGGGTCCCACCATTCACCAGCAGCTATGTGGCCTCAGGTGAGTGGACTGACCTCCCTGAGACTGGAGGTCAGGATTCTGACCTCGTGGGGCCCTTGGGAGGATTACATGAGAACCCAAAAGCATGGGCCCCAAACGACCAGTGTGCATAGACCGATGCAAACCTCACATTCCCACTCAACCCGTCAGCGGGGCATTTTCTGACTCCCTCTTGCTCTTTCCACGTTGCCCAAGTCTCCCAGAGGAGCGGATTCAGGGCAGCGGCTGGAGTGGGAGATTCTCCAGCAGTCTCACCCAAACTCAGCTAGCGGGAGGCCTGAGTGGTTCCCTGGACTGAAGACAGTCTCCTTCCCACCCACACCCACCCCCAACCTGTCTCCCACTTCCAGTAGCTCCCCCAGACCACAACCACCAAGGTCTGCCTCCAGTTCCAACAACGGGGGTGTTAGTTCTGGCTTGCTTGTGTTTTTCCATTGCCCACTGGAGAAGGACCCCTGGGCTGCTACAATCCTGCCTGCTTTAGCAGACTTTGGGAACAGAACTGCTGATAGGAGCAGCTGTGGCCAGCATGGTGACACCATGCAGGAGGTGTGGGCTGGGCACTGGTTGCCAGTGTGTTGTTGTTGTCGGCCCTGTGATTCCAAATCACAGGGATCCTAGAAGACCAAATAGACTGCCTCTAGGGCTTGGGTCCCTGGTCCGTAATCTTGACCAGAGCAAGTTACCAGGTCTTTTTGCTCAAGGAGTTGCTGATGGGCTGGATCGATGGCCTTGGACTCAGCACTAGACTGTTTAACCATTGTTCCACCAGTGCTTCCTGATGAGCTACGTGGACCCCAGCCACCCACTGCAGCACCCTGGGCCTCAGCTGTGTCATCTATGCAACAGGTGCTGTTACCCTGTGGATCTTTAGAGAGCCCCTCTAGCCAAGGATGGCCCATGCCTTGGCAGCTAGCTTCTTCCATGTTTAAGGATCATGAGGCTCAAGGCCAGGTGAGCTGTGAGCCTATAAGAAGCAGGGCCACACCTTCCTCAGATGGCAGCCAAGCTTGCCCTCCCCAGTCTTCTCCCCCCCCCAACCCCCACCCCCATGAGATCCTCCCATCCACTCAATGGAGACTCAGCCGGACTGCAGAATTCATCGGCATTTTAATGACTGTGCAATCTCAAGGGTTTCCATGGCACCCCCTGGAGGACTGGATGCTGGAAAGGGAGGCTGGGAAGACTTGAGAACTGGCCCCAGGCAACTCGCCACCTTGTGGGACAGCGAGCGGTCAGGCTCCTGGATGGAAGTGGGAATCTGGGAAGTCAGAATCTTCCGCTTGTGGAGCGTCCATGGAAAGGAAAAGAGAAGATGAACTCCTAGTGTGGCGGACTTCAATCCCGCACTCCACTGTCAACATGGTTCCTTCCCAGCCGTGCCTTCATCCATCGGCCCACTTCCCTCCTGCCCCTACCCTGCCTCCCCCTCCCCCACAAAGAAGCCCAGGCCCAGGTGGATGGTACTTGGCTGTGGGGCCTGTTTCCTCCCACTGGCTTGGACCCATACCCCAACACAGACAGAGTGGGCATGGGCAGGATTCCCAGACAGAGAGCCAAAGGGGGGCTGGTTGGTCCTCAACATCTCCCGCTCTGGTGGGAGATGGGGAGGAGTGCAGCGGGGGCACCTGTGGTTAGGTGAGCCTGGGAGTGGTTCCACACACAGACACCCCCATCCCAAACCAACCAACGATGAACAAGCTAGGAAGGAAAGAGGACCCAGTCGGAGATGTAGCTGCACACCATGCCAATAGGGCCTGGTGCAGAGAGCGGCCAGACGTGGTTTAGGTGGGCCGCGGCACTCCGTAGGAGAGAGTGAACTTCTGGGCACTCTGGTAGAACTGCTTCCGGTTCTGTGTCAGCATTTCGGCAAGTTCTATCCTCAGGGGCTGCCCCAGATCTGGTTGATTCACCATCATGTTGAGGGCCTCCAGGACTGGGGAGAGAAGCTAAATCAGGACATCAGAGTGGTGGAGAAACCTCCAGGAAGGGAGGCTTCGGAGCCCCACCCTGGGTCCCCAGAAATGCCATGCCCCGCCCCTCAGGGGGCTCATCTCATGGGATGACTCTTGGTGGCGGTGGTGGCTGTCCAGACAACTCATGATGAGCCCATGGGTGCAGAGTAGAGCTGTGCTCCGTACAGTTGCAGATTGCCAGGCCTTACTTGCAAAGTGCTTCTGGGCAGAACTTTAAATGGCCAGTTTCGGGGCTTGTGGTGGAGTACTTCACCCTTTGCACCACCCAAGATGACTCTCTCAAACCCACACCAAACTCACTGCCACCGAGTCCATGCCGACTCACAACGACCCTGTAGGACAGGGCAGAACTGACCCTGTAGGTTTCCGAGAGTGTAATTCTTTATGGGAGTAGAAAGCCTCCTCTTTCTCCCACAGATCGGTTGGTGGATTTTGAACTGCCAACATTGAAGCTGGCAGCCCACTGGGAACCCATTATGCCACCCGGGCTTCTCTTAGGATGACTCTCAACTAAATCACTGCCATCAAGTCAATGTCAACCTATAGGACAGGGTAGAACGGTCCCCGGGAGTTTCTGTGACTTTAACTCTTTATGGGAGTAGAAAGCCCAGTCGTTCTCCCAAAAGGATGGTTCTACAGTCAACCAAATGCCCCACTCATCTCTGAGCCGAGAAGACCTGAAGTTTTGACTGGTTCTCCCAGTGGTTTTCAAACTACAGCTTCAGAGATGTGGGCAATGCAAAAAGGCTTCTCCCCAGGTTGTCTTCCCCAAATATGTGCCAAGCCTAAGAAGCTGTTTGCAATAGCATGGTGGGAGGTCGCATATTTGGAGGTATTCTCCCTGAAGGCATTCAGCCATCCAGAGCAATCAGACTTATGTCAGTCCTGCCATAGGTGGGCCTCACACCCATTTGATAAGGATAGTGACTGCCTCCCTGAAGGAGAGCCCAGAGTCAAGGTGGAGCCCACTCAAGGATGATCACGGCTAGGCTACCATCTTGAGTCTAGGGTACACCCATCTTGTCACATGTGTGCCCTTAATCCCTCTCCCTTCCTATTACGTGTACACCCCTAGCTCATCCCCTTCCTGTGATGCATATGCCTATTGCACAGCCCCTTCCTGTGATGTATGTGGTTACCTGTAATGGGGGGGGGTGTGTGTGCATGCCCCTAAGTATATATAGGCCTTGGTCAGAAATAAAGGGGACTCACTCCTCTCCCCTCTCCAATACCTGCTCTCTGCGCGGACCTGGCTGCTAAGATCATGGCCGCCCAGGAGGTGAGCATGCTACCACGAAATGTGTCTGACTCCTTTATTCTATCTTCTACCTCTCCTATCTTCCATGACTTTACTATGATCTCTATATATTATAACCGTACAATTGCTCTTACGGACCCCCACAGATGTTAGAGAGGTTGGTCTACTCTAACAGAGATACCACCCATGAAGGGGGTGAAGGAGATCCATCGGGTTTCTCCCTTCAAGTCTCAGGTCTGCCACGTGCCAGCAGTGTGGCTTTAGGCAATTGGCTCACCTCTACGAGACCACTACTCACTTGCTCACCCACTGCTGGCACCTGGGCAGGCGTGTGGAGGACAATGTCAGGGGTCTTAGGAGAGAGGGGCAGCTTGGCTTTAGAGGGAGATTGCTTGGCATAAGAAGACAAAGCCCTCCATCCGGGACCTTGGGCAAGTCTTTCTTCCCTTGTGGCCTCTGTGACCCTAGCGAGGGGGTTGGCCTACTGATGTTAATGGCAGGGACTTCACTCAATCTTCATGGGGTTGCTGGAGGCATTGAATGGAGTCCCTGTCTTGTAGACTTGGAGCCCTGGTGGTGTAGTGGATATGAATTGGGCTCCAGTCCACAAGGTCAGCAGTTTGAAGCCACTCCTTGGGAGAAGAAAGGGGCTGTCTACTCCTCTGAAAAGTCACAGTCTTGGAAACCCACAGGGACAGTCCTACCCTGACCCATGGGGTCGCTATGAGTCGGCATGGATGCGATGGCAGTGAGTCTGGTTTTGAGGGGCGGCTCTGTGGGAGAAAGCCTGGAGACCTGTTCCCATAAGAGTCCAGCAGAACATTCTGCTGTGTCACATGGAGTCCCTCGAAGTCAGAACCGATCCGAGGGCACATGACAACAACCCCAATCAGCTGGGGAGCCCCCATCTGAAAGGTAGCTAGATAGGGACAAAACGGGGTTGTCTCCCCCTAATACCTGCACTAAACAAAAATTACCTGTCCATGCCACAATAAAGGGGTTGGAAAGAAATCAAGCACACTGATTAGATACCTATGGGGGAAATCCAAAGCTGGGCATGCTCAGACCAAAGTCACAAGTCACCTGGGCCCAGGTGGAAGCAAACCTGGGTACACCCACTTAGGCACCAGCAATATTACATCACACAGGGGTACCTAAACTCAGCCAGTAAGGTCAGTCAATACCCTCAACCATGCCACCGCAGCCAATGGGGAAGAGAGGGGATAAAAGCAGGCCTAGGGCAGCCTAGCTCTCTGTTCCCTTGCAGGTAGGAGGGGAGGGGCACTACCTGCGTCCTCTCAGGGCCCAAGCTCCCTCCCTCTCAGGCCTCTCTCTCAGGGTGGTCTCTTAAAATTTCCTGCTCTTGGCTCCACACCCTAGTTCCATACTCTCGTTGTGGTATTCCTTCCAGGTATTTGTCCACACTCCCCTAAAATGGCCATTTTCAGTCAAGAACTTTCCCACGGCCGCCCCCCTGCACCCTCCCCTCCCCCGCTATGCAGCCTTGCGCATTTTTCAGAGGCAGCATGCACTTTTTGAGACTGTCATACCTGCAGCTTCCCTTTCCCTCATAAAAATTACTTGGATTTTCAAAAGTGCTTCTGCCACGTGAGTTCGTTCAGCATTGTGAAGCAAGAACTGAGAATAAACCACCCTGGAAACCAAACACCTCCACTCCAGGTGCCTCCCCACCTACCTTGGCGGGTCTTGGTGCATGGCTTCCAGTTCTCATTGCTGGTGATGGGAAGGCACACCTGGCCGCTCTCCTCCACATTGGGGTGGTAGATCTTGGTGGTGAATCTTATCTTGGGAGGCTTGAAGGGATAATCCTCTGGGAAGATGAGGCTCACGTTGAAGGCTTTGAGGTTGTAGGGTGGTTCGCTCTGTGGAAAGGGCAGGGGTCAACCTCTGCTCCAGGCAGGGCTGCTCAGCACTGACTCTGGGCCTCCTGGAGGCCTGGTCTGATTCTCCTCCCACCCCACCCCAGGGTGCCAGGCCTCCTCTGCACCCCTCCTGGGAAGACTCTCGAACAGCTGGTTGAAGAAGTCACTCAAGTGGGGCAGAGGAAGGGTGGCAGCACCAACAAACGGGGCTGCCAACCACGGTTTTAGCACTTCGAACCACCAGCAACACTGGCAGGGGGGAAATGAGGCTTTCTATTCCCCTTAATATTGAGTCTTGGAAACGCTGTCACACAGGGGTCCAAATCCCTCTACAGTCCTTCCCCACGATTGTGTCTCATGAACCCTCACCCCTACTAACACATGATGAGGAAGCTCACGGTCACGGTCTGCAAGTAACTTGCCCAGGGCCACTCAGACTGGGGTGGGAACCTCGCGAGCTGTTTCTTGTGCATGAACCTCGTGTGTGAGAAAACTGGACGCTCCTGAAGGAGCCACGAAAGGAGCACCGTGTCTCATGTCATGTAGCTGTCTAGGACAATGCGCAAACGTCTGTCCTAGCTGGGTCTCACAAACTGCTTCCTTACTGCAAATGGTAAGGAATTTGGGGAACAGCTGCAAACAGTGTTCCCTGGTAGCAGTAAACAAGAGCAGTACGGGCTGAGATACAAAACTCTCTCAAGGCTATGAGAAATTCAAGCGTGAGAACAGCGAACTTATCTGAGAACACTGCCAGTATTTAGTAGATAAGAATAAAGTGCTGTGGTCTGTCAGGGCTGCAGCTTGTACCATCTCTGTCTGTGTCTATTTTGTGCTGCAGTCCTGTAGTGTGTGTGTGTGTGTGTGTGTGTGTGTGTGTGTGTGTGTGTTTGGTTCTATGTTCATTCTCCCCTACTCGGAAACCGCGGTACCTCCTATGCAGGGAGAGCTGGGCGCTGAAGAACGGAGACCCAAAGAACTGATGCCTTCGAATTCTGGTGTGGGTGGGGAATGTGCAATGTCCCAGGGACCGCTAGGAAAGCAAGTGAATCGGTCTTGGAAGAAGTATAGCCGGCATATTCGTTAGAAGGAAAGGATGATGAGACTTTGTCTCGCCCCCTCGGGATATGTGATTCGGAAGGAACAGTCCCTGGAGGACAACAGGCTCGGTGAAGCAAAGGGGGGGGTGAAATGAGGACGACCCTCAGTGAGATGGGTGGACCACAGCAGCTGCAGCAGTGGGCGCAAGCATAGGACAGTGCAGAACACAAGGGGTAACTTGGGTCGCACAGAGGCTACTGGTTCCGGGGGGCCGGGAGGAGGTGTCGAGGAGCAGGTGGGGGTAGACACTGGAGAATCGGATTAGTGGCTTGGACTGTGGAATGCAAAAGGTAATGAGCTGATATGCAAATTCCACCTAATTTACGATAAAAAGATTTTGCTTCAAAAAGCAGGTGTGTGTGTAAGAGATGAGGTAAACTACTGGGGAAAGAGGGCCCATGTCTCAGCTTTTCTGGAATAAGAAAAGGCTAGAACCTTTGAGGCTCAGATAAGGCCAAGGGCAGAGGCCTCAGGAAGGAATGGGGAGTGTCTGTGTGTGGGGGTTCGTCAGGGCTATTTGTGGGGCTCCCCAGATCATCCTGAGGAAGGAAGTGGGAGGGCCCTGGAGTCCAGAGCCCTGGGAACCCATCCCAGCTCAGCCCCAGCTCCTTACTCAGCAATCTCTCGCTAGTGCCTCCTCTGTAAAAGACAGTGGAACTAGACAGAACCTTAGGGACCACTGAAAGCTCCCCTTCTTTCTAAGTTCATTTTTTCCAAACATTTGAAAACTCTGCATCTTCCATGGAGTAGGCTAGCAAGAGGATTCTGCAGTCAATTGAATTCTGCCGCTCCACCTTCTGTTGCCTGACTTTGGACAAGTTGCTTAGCCTCCTAGGCCCCGGTTTGCACCCTGGGTGGTGCAAAGGTATCATACTCAGCCACTAAATGAAAGGTGGGCAGTTCGAGCCCACTCAGAGGCACCTCAGAAGAAAGACCTGGTAATCTCTTCCTGAAAACCCAGCCATTGCAAACCCGAAGGAGCACAGTCCCACTGTGACACACGGGGTGACCAGGAGCTGGAATCCACTCAACAGTGACTGGTAAGTAAGAAATACAAACAACCTCACTGCCATCGAGTCAGTTCCGATTCATCATGACCCAACAGGGCAGATAGGACCGCCCCTGTGAGTTTCCAAGGCTGTACATTTTATAGGAGCAGAAAGCCTCATCTTTCCTCCCAAGGAATAACTAGTGGCTTGAACAGCTGACCTTGTGATTATCAGCCCAATGGGCTCCTGACTAAGTGGTCAAACCCCAAACTAAACTCATGGCCATCGAGTCGGTTACAACACATTGTACATTGAGCTTCAAACCACAATGTCAGGGGTTCACAAGCACCAGCCGATCTTCAGGAGAATGATGAGGCTCCTCCTTCCATGAAGAGTTATCGAGTCCGGAATCCACAGGGCCAATGCTGCCAGGTCCTATTGGGTAGCCTGTCCTTGGGTGGTTGCGAAGATTCAATATGACCTCAGATACAATGTGCTTAGAACAGTGCTCGGCTCACAGAGGATTCTCAATAAGGAGGTGAAATATTAGCTTCAAAAGGGCCATCGAGCCGTCACCTTCTTTGGCCACAGTCAGTGACATGAAGCCACCTGAATGAAGTGGATGATGACCAAGTAAAAGCCATCCGCTCACCCGACAGACCTCTCCTGGTTCTCCGTCCTCACCAAACAACTCTGATGGCTTCACAGGGTGTCCCTGCAGGACTCCCTGGGGGAGCTAATCTACATTCAATTTTGGATCCCAGCCCTGGGGTTCTCCCCAACTAGCCTGCTTCTTCAGGACCCCGGGTGACAGGTTCCTGGAATGCACCTGCCCCCTCAATTGTGCCAGCCCCCAGAGCGTCTGGATTTCCAAATGTTCTCCCCAGGTGACCACATCTAGGATCTCCTACCACCCACTACCTTCTCCCTTCAGGCTTTCTCTTCCCCCTCCACACTCATCCTCTCAAAGCTGGCTTCCTCGAAGATCTCCGTGGTGGAATGAAACCCTTAGCATGACTCGACTACCCGTCCCTGGTAGTGGTTACACATCGGCTGCCAATTGCAAGGACAGTGGTTCGACAGCACCAGAGGCACCACGGGAGAAAGATGGGACTCTCTATTCCCATAAAGAGTTACAGCCTCAGAAATCCACAGGGGCAGTTTGACCTTTTCCTACAGCATCACTCCGTGGCAGCGAGTTTGGTTTTTGACTCAAGTTTCTGTAACTCCCACCAAATGATTAGGTGCAACTATGCAAACAGAGCATTCACAACACTACTAGAAGGGAGTGGTCCGTTTTTTGTTACCACCACCCCCGGGCATCCAGATGAGCCATCTTTGAAGCAGCAGCAGCGAGAGTAACCCCAAGGACCTTGGACGAGCATGTTCCAAGTCTCCTTCTGAAATAGCAGAGGCCACTGCAGCCAGATGCAACTGGGACTGTGGCACAAAGGCTCGGAGGAGAAGCACCGAGACTCTGGGGTCCCTTCTTCTCATCTGCCGGAGACACGGAAGGGCAGGACAGGGCGACAGGCTGGCAAAGACCAAGGGAGCACGGTGGATGAGAGCGTGAAGACCGGAGAGAGACTTGGCTACCAAATGGCCAAGGGGCTGAGAACAGAGAGACTGAGCTGCTGGCGGAGACCAATGACTGTATCTATTTGCTGACCCCGAGTTGTGGGAACCTATTGTATTGACTTCCCTAATAAACCCCCCTCAATTGTGAGTACTGCCTGTGAGATCGGGGTGGCCATTGCAGTGAGTTACCAAATCCAGCACAGGTAGAAATGGTGTGGGAGGAACGCTGGGCGTGAGAATAGGTAAAGATGGATGGACCGAGGAGCCTGGTCTGACCCCTGCCTCGTGGCAATCAGGAAACCAGAGGAGGTCAGTTATGTCCACTTCCAGGCCGTTGGCTGCAATCTCTAATCAGTTCCTGGAGCTCTTTCCAGCAACTTCTTCCCCGGGCACCTGACACGTGGTTCTCACTACAAGCCAGGTAAGTGAAAGGCTTCAACCCCCCAACCCCAGGGAC